GTAAGGCCCACACTTGTCGCTCCTGGTCACAAGGAGGGGCCGTGCTCAGACCCACCGAGGGTGACTTTCTACTGACCTCCTCACACTGCCCCCAACCGCATTGCCCTCTGACAGTGGACACTCCCTTGGGGCACAGCTTCTGCTTCTGTGGGGCTCCTACCAGACCCTGCCTCAGGCTCGGAGGAATGCAAGCTTGACTGCTGCTTTAGAGATCAGGCTTCGCGTCACACGAAGCCTTCTATCCTCAGAGCTACAAAGCCTCCAGAGGCAAGTGGCCCTGGTGGTTATGGCTGTGGGTTATGGCCGGGGTTCGGCACGGCCTGTTTGGAGGTTCATCCTTGGCAGGCCCCGAGCCAGATCTTGAAAATTCCCACGTGAAGGTCTGCAGGGCCTGCTTCTGATGTCAGCGCTGGCATTCGGTGGCTGTTTGGTGACACCATATGGGAAGACAGGCTTGATTTGCAGAGATGGCTCCACACAACACAGCCCACCGCGCCGGGCACACTAGATTTCAGCTATCTGGAAACATTCATGGGTACCTAAGGGTAGGAAGCCCAGAATCCCTTTCCTTCAGTGTGTCCACTGAACAGGACTGGGCAAGGCCAGCCACTCTCCTTTGGTGCAGGCCATAGACCCCTATCAACCAGCAACCTGTGGCTGGTAACCTTGTTTCTTACTGGACCCAGCTCCAGGGAACACACTCAGACCACAATGTCTGAATCAAATAAATGAAATCAGAAATAGATGACGGCCTCTCCCAACAGTGTGCCAAGCTCAGAAAGAACATTCGGGCCAAGGTCCTGGACTCGGGTGGCAGGTGAAGCCGAGGGTGGAGCTTAGCTCCAGGGCCCCAGAAAGGGACTGGTGTCAGTCTCATGCAGCAGGGTCTCAGACACCCAGGGAAGCTCAAAAGCCGGTCGTCTGCCCTCAGGGAGGCCATGCCTTTCCTAACCATGCAGGCTGGAGAGGGTTCTCAGAACAAACGCTGTTCCGTTATCGGGGTTCCCTTCAGGGGCATGGCAAGGAAGGAATCACAGAGCCCAGGCAGAAATCTGTGGAAGTTTCTGAGGCTGGAGGCCTGAAGATACTGAAGTTTCAAGACTGAGAAATGTGAAAGTGGTTAAAAAAAGGCATAATAAAAGTTAAAAGTTGTAATTATTAAAATACAGCTTAAGAGGACTGTTTTCTCTGTACAGATGCAGTAAAACAGAGCGGCCTTGAGTTTTCCTGTTCGCTTCCTCTTGCCCCAGTAAAGGCCTCTTGATAAAACAAACAAAAAACTAGTCAATAATGTAACTGGTATACTTTTTTAAAAAAAGATTTATTATGTATACTTTGTTCTGTCTGCGTATACAGCTGCAGGCCAGAAGAGGGCGCCAATCTCATTACAGATGGTTGTGAGTCACCACGTGGTTGCTGGGAATTGAACTCAGGACCTCTGGAAGAACAGCCAGTACTCTTAACCTCTGAGCCATCTCTCCAGCCCCCATTATGAGAATTTAACAGGAAAAAAACCTCTAAAAAGGCTAATTCAGCTTTGTTTTAGAAAAGCACACAATAAAAATTCATTATTTTTTAAGACACAGCCTCATGTATTCTCAGGATTGCCTAAAACTTGCTAGGTAGCCCAGGATAGTTCCGCACTTCTTATCCAGCTGCCTCCCCCTCCCAACGCTGGGGCACAGGTGCCGGTCACCTCTAGATTATCATGCAGTGCTGAGGACAGAACCCAGGGCCTTGTGCGCGCCAAGCAGGCACTCAAACCCATGAGCCGCAGCCTCAGCCCTGGTTCATTTTCATTGAAAAACTGATCATATATGTGCTGTAATTCCAGCACTTGGGAGGCTGAGTCAGGAAGATCTTGAGTTTGGGGCCAGCCATGCCTAAGGTGAGGCCCCATCTCAAAAACCAAAACAAAAACCTCCCAGGTATTTCTACAATGTTTATTTTGGTTTCTAAGTACAAAGATCGGACATCCCAGGTCTCTTGGACAGTGCTCATTTCGCAGCTAATCCTGTTTGCCCACGCCTACACTCCCCCTAACATACTGTCCAAGAGCAAACTTCAAGTGTCCTTGGGCTTAGCTCCATCACTTGCAAGCAGAGAACCTGAGGGTTGTTTTCCAAGACAAGCTCTTGCTATGTAACCTAGGCCAGCTTTGACATCTCTGTGATCTTCCTGCCTCAGCCTGAGGGCTTTGATTACAGACATGCCACCATGCTTGGGGTGGAAGCAGGGGCTTTAGTGTTTATGTATGTTTGCACGCTCATAGGCTTGTGTGGAGGCCCGAAGTTGGCACTGGGCATCTTTCTCGGTTGTACTCCATTCTAGTTACTGAAACAGGTTCTCCCGAGAACCCTGAGCTTGTGAGCACCTTGCCTGGGAATCCCATCTCTGCCTTACAAGGGTTGGAACCACAGGCCACAGTGCTCGCCTGGCTTAAGGTTCTGGAGATCCAGACTCGGGTACGCAAGTGTGTGTGCCGAGGGCTTTATCTGCTGAGCGAGCCATCTGGCCAACCCAGGAGCGGGGTTTTAGAACTGGCCCATGGAGGCAGCTCTATCCTGCTCCCGTGAGCAGTCTTACAGGGGTTCCGATTATAACTGTGAAGATGGAAAAGGTGTCACTCCTGTCTGCCCCTGTCACTATGATGGCTGCCATTTTCTTACCAAGCTGTAAGAGGAAGAGAGAGAAGAAAGAAGAGGTGAGAGAAGAGGGCTTTATTCTGTATCACTCAGGTGTCTGATTCCTCTACGATGATGTCCTTGTATCGGGCAAGAACCCCAGAGCAAGGCCTGACAGCTGCAACTCTGTCCCTAACCTGAACTCAGGGTCAATGCTCTCCTGACCCATTACAACTTTAGAAAACGAGCCAACTGTACAGTGAGGAACCCGGAATCTTTTCTGTTACCTAAATGTAAGCAGTAGAGTCACCAGGCTACCAGGCTAAGCCAGAGGTGCAGCCTGTGGGAGAGGCTGCCAGTCATGTTGAAGCCCCCTCCCCCTCCCCGGGACCCACACTCCTCACAGCAAGTGACCACGCAGGTCCAACAGTGGAGAGGACAGCTTTATAGCACAGTGCCACATCAGGCAAGCGGCCTGGACGGCCACAGGGGAGGAGCCCTGCGGGGAGAGGCTGTGCATGGCCCTGCTTTAGAAGCAGTAGGACGTGTGGGTGACCCAGTGGGCAGACTCCTCCTTGGAGCGCTTGGCAGAGCTGTGGCTTGTGAAGATGGACTTGTAGGTTTCCGACTCCTCACTGTCTGCAATGGACCTCTTCAGGGCCCCACATGGCGGCTTCCCAGCTTTCCCAGAAGCATTCCCGTTAGCTGCTAGAAAACAAAGACAAAATCTGTAAGGCTGGGACTAAAGACCACTCCAAATGTCCAATTTTTGTTTGTTTTCCAAGACAGGGTTTCTCTGTGTAGCCCTGGCTGTCCTGGCACTCACTCTGTAGCCCAGGCTGGCCTTAAACTTGGAGCTCCACCTGTCTCTGCCTCCCGAGTGCTGGGATTAAAGGTGGGTGCCACCACGCCCAGACAAATGTTGAGTTTTTAAACGAAACAAGTATGCCATTTCCCCAACCTCGCAGCATTTTGCTACTATTTGCAAAGAAAGCTGAAGCACAGGGCAGGGCCTCCTGCAGCCCAGACGTCTTCGACCTCACTATGAAGCCAAGATTGGCCTTGACTTCTGGTCCTTCGGCCTCCATCTCCTGAGGGTGGGGTTATGGGAATGTGCTGCCATAACATTTTATACCGTGCTGGTGGGAGAACCAGGGTTCTGTGCATACTCTCCAAGTGTTCTGCCAACTGAGCTACACTCCCTGCCCACAATAGATTAAATTAAATTAATGATTTGAGACAGAGCCTCACTATGTAGCCCTGATTGACCCAGAACTCTCTATGTAGACCAGTCTGGCCTTGAACTTGGGGTGATTCTCCTGCCTCTGCCTCCCAAGCAGGCACATGCTACCACAGAGTCTCAACGGTGTCTCCTAAAAGCTAGGCAGAGCCCTAACCACTAAGGTCTTGCTGAACACTGTGTGCTGGCACCAGGCTGCCCCAGCTTCTCAGCACTCAGGTGAGGGACTGGTCCTCTCAGGTTGGCACTGCACAAGGACAAAGCGCCCAGAAGTCTCAGTGGCCTGTCCTGATGGAGGGCCGGGGTGGGGTAGGGTGGGGGTGGGGGGCGGTGTTGGCCACTGTTCCTGTGGGACACAACACCACACTTTCTCTTACC